CCAGTACTACGTGCATCATTGCATGCACTGAAATTCCCATTGAGCCCTTGCAATAGTTACCCACTCACTACAAGTAAATGACCAAAATAAGAATAAAAGACAATAAACGAGTGCAAAATTAAGAAGAGACGAAATGCAAGGAAGAAGTGAAGTATGCACGTCGTTAGAGGGCCATAGAAATTGACGTATGTACCCTTCGACACTTCAAGTCGACCCACACCAATGTTGACACTTCGACAGTGGTAGTCCCATATGTACGTACATGCATGTATTATTTGATTAACCATAGACAGAGACGGAAATTTGAACTTTAAACTTCTTTAAACATAAATAAGAGAAATTCTACTGAAGTAAGAGCGACTATACATTGTTCTGCGAAGCTTGTCGATCGGAGTTTACTCATGGCTTTTCTTGTGAGTCTGTGACTGCCCCCACTGCATATGGCCTTGTATATTAATATCGTGAACTGGCTTGAATAATATATAGCTTCAATAGGCCAATTAGTCAAGCAATGAATTATTGAATTTAACAAGTTGGTAAAGTACGTAGATCCGTGAATCACTAGAGAAATCTAGAACTAATAATTATCGTCCGACAAATGCATAAACAAGTGGAAGTTGTTCAAAACAATTAAACAAATAAATAATATTCCATGAAAATAATTTTAAGACGTCAAATCATTTGATCAATTCCATATATGTGATGAATATTATCATGATTTATGGAGTGTGGATTTTGGACCAATGGGAACAATTGGGAGATGATTTTCATGCATCTTTTTTAATTTTTCACACATTTCTTTTTATTTTGGTCGTTGGGTTGAATAAATCAAACGAAAACAACGGATGTGATTAAACATGAGTATGTGAGAGACAAAAAAGAGTATGTGTTTACCATTTCCATATTTTTATTTTACATGAATATTTTTGTTACTCCATTGATTAAAATCCTATTCATGAATAAACATGAATATTTTTATTTTACATCCTTCTTTTTGTTACTCCATTGATTAAAATCCTATTCATTTTCAATTTTTGATCAAGGTCCTTGGGTATTAATAACATCATTAATTATTTGAATAATGAAATATTTTTATTTTTAGTTTGTACCAATTTTTAATTTGCAAATATTTTTTAATTTGTACCAATTTTCTTTTCATTTTTAATTTGTACCCATATATTAGTTTCTTTTTGTACCCATATTTTTTTAAAGTTTTATTTGTGTTTGTACCCATGTGTATACCATCACGTTACATTGTATATTTGATCAATGATAGAAAAATTACATATGGTATATTTATGTTTTATGCCTAAACTTTGTATCATATATTTATATTTTTAGTTTGTACCCACTTTTAATTTGCAACATTTTTTTTTTAAATTTGTAGTATTTTCTTTTAGTTTATTTTTTTTTTATTTTGTACCCATTTATTAATTTCTTTTAGCATCTATATTTTTAAAAATTCATTTGTACTCATAATTTTTAATCTTTTATTTGTACCCTAATTTATTTATAATGTATCCATTCTTCTTTATTAATGTACCACTTTGTTATATGTTAAATGTACCAATTTTTTAACACTATGGATATATTCTTTTGCCATTTATTATTTCTTATTTTTACATAGTTTTTATCTATTTATTCAATTAAAATGTTTGATTTTTTTATTGTAACTGTTTCTAATAGTATTATAATGAGGGATTTTAAATTTATAGGATTATAAATCTCATAAAATATCAAACAATTAATGTCAAAACTATAAAAATATAAATATTAATAGTAATATAATGAGGTGTACAAAGTCAAGGGACTTTAATCAAACTTTAAATACTATTAAGGTTTTAATCAAATAATGTTAAGGATTAGGGACCGCTATCAAATTATCCCAATAAATAATTGAGATTTTCTTTTCTTTTTGAAAAAGCCTAATGGAGAATTTGAAGAGCTTTTTAAAGACACTTTTTTTTGGGGTTTTGGATTAGTGAAAAATTGGGGCATTGCAAAGAAACATAGCCTTTTCTAAAGAGAGATAAGTGAGCCCTAGACTGTATAACCTGTTGTAAGCGTGAGTAGAGAAAGGCAAGCTCGGTGTGACGGTGTGTGTGAATCTGTGCTGGGTGTGGTGGTGGTCCGGGGACATGCATATATACTAGCTAGCTAGTGGTACAATAAACCCAGCTAAAGAGAAAAGAAAAGAGACACTAATTAGCAGCAGATGAACAAAAAGAAATGAAAGTTTGTAAAATGTCAACGGTTATGAAAAAGATGCTAAGCTCGATAGAACTTTGAAAATAATTCTGAGTCTTCTTTTGTAGGTGACGGACTTGCTCTTTATTAATTTCTGTGCAACATGCCCACAGCCTTTGGTTTTGGCAGCTCAACCTTGCAGCAAACCCTAGCTACCATATATAACTGCACTAGTCATGTTTTTTGTTCATGGACCCGTCTGCTTATCGTCACATCTTGACCATTCATCCTACTATATATATATATATATATATATATATATATATATGTACATGTATGTATAATTATAATTGCAGTGATGTTTTTTGTACATGAACTATAGGGTTTAGGGCTTTGAATGCTAAGGTCTTAATTAATCCTAAAAGAGGTGTCACTAGCTAATATTGGTTTGATTTGCTTAAAATGATGAACACGGTTTGAATAAAGACCAAATAATCACATCGGATTAGGACATTGTTTGATCAAGTTCGGAAGCCCTACGCTGATCCGATAAGAGCTTCATGACAGTATATTGAAGGATATGTCCTATATGGGAAACCTCATGAAGTTAATCTTTTCTTATATTGAGTGATTCTATTATTAATTACACTGAGGTCTTTTGTATAAAATATGTACCTGTTAAATTTCACAATAATTAAATTAGAGACATTATCGGTATAATTAGTAGTAGGTCATTAAACCATCTCTAAAACTTTTATATGTGATTAATAGTGGGTCATTGGTTTTCTCTCACATAAACATTCTTTCAAACATTTTTGACCAGATAAGGAATGAATCCTTGTTACAACTCAGTATATCCATCAAGAGAGAGAGAGAGAGAGAGAGAGAGAGAGAGAGAGAGAGAGAGAGAGAGGCCTAGGGATTAATGAAAGGAAGGTTTGGGTGGTTATGGTATATCCAAGCTTTTAGAAAGTTTTATACATAAGTTGCAGGGTTAAGGTACAATATATGCCATTTGTCTTGTAAAAGGGATTGCAACTTTTTATCTCTTCCTCAGCTCCCACAACCAGACAAACTAAAAGCTTCTCTCCTCTTCTATTCCCTCTCTCCCTATCTCTTTCTTTCTTTCTTTCTCAGCATCCTTGCATTTGTCATAGTCCACCAGGGAATCTCACCTCAACAAAACCCCCTTCTTTTCCCCCTTTAATTTGTCCTTCCAACCCTAATAATTACCAAAACCCCTTTTCCATGCTTTTCTATCCTTTTAGTTTTCCCCCTTGTAATGCAAATTTATATACAAATTAAATTAAGACTTGCATAATTTCCATGACTTCTCTAATCTTTAACTTCCATTTTTTTTGCTTGTGCAAGAGAATAATAACTTATCTGCAATGGGGATATATCCATTCTCTTCTTTAATTTTTCATAAATCACGTGATTCATACAGAAGGTGAAAAAAGGAAGAGAACGAGTATAATATATGATGTGTGAAAAATGAAGAGAATGAGTACATTCTTGTTTCAGGTAAGTTTCGCTCGTTCAAAAGATGAATGAGTACATTCTTGTTTCAGGTAAGTTTCGCTCGTTCAAAAGATGAATGATATAGGAATCACACATTGGTACTTTTATTTTAGAAACCTGGCCAAAATGGTTGCTTTTTAAATTCTAATTGCTAAAATGATTAGTTTTTGGTATGTTGTCGATATTGGCCATTGACATGTTGTCATCAATTTGTGGTCGTTATGTCAATAATGATAATCAAGATCATTTCAGCAATTAAAATTTGATTTTTGATCATTTTAGCTAATTTTCTATCTTTTCCTTATACAACAGTATTGGGAGATAGGATTTGTGCTAAACCAGTCAATAAGCCCGTCATAATTAGATTCGAATTCGCCGTTTATGATTGTCGATGAAATCTCCCACTTATAAGTGAAAAAATTATCACTAGTGTCAATGTGGCATCAATTAGATTCCCCTGCCAATTGCTTCTTGTCTGAATAAGAGAATGTCGTGTAAGTTGAGGGATTATATATATATATATATTTTTTTTTTTAAAGAAAGGAAAAAATAAGGCCTCCAAAGATTGTCCCTTAGAATTTTGTTAACCGGCCTCTATATATTTGCTTCTCTGCACTTTACAGTTTGGATGACCAGTTTATTCATGTTTTCAGCACGCTTGTGGTCCTTAACTAGTAGGTGTTCTTTTTCAACAATATTAGGAGAATTATTGGGAGATACCAAAACACTGTCACAGCGTATAATCAATCCACATGCATGTTATAAGACGAGTGGATATTTACAAAGATTATACCCTTAGCATCAAACTCGCCATCCACCAGTATTCTAACACTTGTACTGATTATACCAAGTTGTGTTGTTCCAGTAACCACCCAATAATTTTCCAAATTACGCTTCGTCTTGCTAGACGCCGTCGCTTTTCAAATGAGGTAACAGAGCACAACATACCAGGCAAGTTAAAGTTGCAGAGCATATCTAGCTGCACAGAGTGTACCACCAATCATACTCTCTTACGCTTAAAGTTTGTGATGACTTGAGTTCTTGGAGCCTGTAAATGAACACTTGTAAAGTACAGTCCAGAATTCAAGCAAAAGAAAAGTTCCGGGAATGAAATATGCATCGATTTGCGCCCCTCGAGATACTGCCCGGGACCAATTTCTTTATGAAGTTTCATCAGACCCCGGGTTTTGGCCCCCTCCAATCCACTCCCAAATACTTATCCAATACATTCTTGTATGCCTGCAACAAAGAATACAGTAGTAAGAGTTTGGAACAATGAGTTCAGCATCCATCGAGGATTCTGAATCGTGTAAAAGTGCGTTAATTTGTTAATGAGCAGCAAGTAACATTTTACTCCGCACATACAAGTAGGACAAGAATAAAGCTGCATCTCAACGAATTGTCTACGAAGGGTGTTTAATAGGGGGAAATAAGGTTGCCAAGGTGAAAAGATCGAATAATTCATGAGTAGAACCCAAATTTCTCAAATGAAGCGGGATTCTGGCTGTACAACTCTAATTAAAGGGAAAATTTATACATCCAAAACAATCAAGAAGAATTGAATACATAAGCAAACTTACATGGCAATAATATTAGCATGATATGAAGTGCCAATATATTAGCGTGATAAGGTTCACTGCCCATCGAAAAATTTACAGTAAAATTGCAAACTAGAAATGCTAAGGTCTTGCATGCAAACAAAACAAAGAACTCGTTACGAACTTATGATCCTTGTTCCCTGCCCAGCTCTAGTCAAGACTAGATAATCTTAACAAATAAAGGGTAACAGCACAGTGGCCGTCTCCACCGGGAACCACGTGAATTGACTGTAGCAGTCTATGAGATCAAGACTAACTAATTTTTTGCCAATCACAAATTTGTACCGTCTTTTGCAACTCATACATGCCTGGCTATTATTATGATCTTTCACAGCAAACTTCTAGGTTAATCATTTTTTCATGGTAGTTCATACCATCATACCAAATAGATATTTTTCTTAGTACTTCATATGGTAGATGAGCCCATGAACATCTTATTTCCGGAATCGTCCCCGACCCAATTTATTCTTACGAACATTATTGCGTACCCATCTACCTAACATGAAGATATGGGAACAAATCAAGAATAATCTCTTCGCACATTTACACCACAATTTGACACCAGAAATATATGTTATCATGAGTGCCAGAAGACACGTTTCAACAAGAGCACAGCATTACCTGGAGTGCAAATAATTCTTTCCCCTTCAAAATTGCATCCATTGCTGCGAATTGGTCGTCAAATGCCCCATAGAAAGCCTGGTAAAATCTGTCCCTGAAATGATAAATAAGGATAGAAGGTTGAAGGTGAATACAGGTCCAAGCCTTCAAACTAAAGAATTAATGACAAATTAGCATTTACCGTTCTTCCTCAGTGATCAGTTGATCCATTCTATCAAATTTACGAGTAAGTACTTCAGCTCCCACTGGTGAAAGCAAGTGCAGTATTAAAGCCTCCAAAGTTCTTGGGAAATTTTCCTGCAAAAGATTATATAGCAGTTGCACATGAGGATGAGATTTTTATTTTTAAAAAACAAAATAATAGTGGTTGGTCATTCGATTTACTAATATATAGTTATCCCAAAGTGGATCCCCTCACCACCTTACCATGAAGGGATTACTAAATGGTATGAGACTCGCTAAAATTATAGAGCATAAGAGGATTTAAAGACAAACAGAAACAGGAAGAGGGGAGTATCCTGCCCAGCTGCATTCTCGTAAAGAAATAAAGAAACAAGATAAAAGCAGTCAAGCCTTCAAACATACTGGATTTAATGAAAGGAGGAACTATCGAGGATCACTTTTCCATTAGATGGGACAATTTTCACTGGTAAAAGCATAGAAACACAGTTATAAAGTACAAAGAAACCAGAATAGTAGGCAAAAATAGGGAATAAAGATGGCCCTTTGAATCTAAAAGAAATGAAGCTCCTCTAGATGACAAAGTTCCTCTATACAAGTAAGATAACCTGCTTGCCGATTAAGCTTTTACCGTTTGGCATGGAAGACGCACCAAACATTAACAGAAAGACCGTGATTTATCACTTTCTTTTGCTAGTAACGAACAACTCTCATGAGCCAAGACTAGAGCCACCTATTATAGTCTACGAGTTTAAGTTTTATAGTGAAAGCAAAAATGTTCAAACTCACCACCATGGCAAGAAATACATTTTTTAAAGTGATGGAATGAAGAGTCCAAAAAATTTTAGCAACTGGATCATCTTCCAAGCCAAACGAACTCAGTCTCACGACTTTGATGCGTTCATCATTCACACTAGCTGCAGGAGCAGTTGTTGAAGCAGATTGCACTGGTTGTCTTTGCTCAGCAGCATTAACATGACCATGAACTAAAGAAACAAGTTCATGAAGAGCAAGGACGGCACGGGGTTCCAGTGCATGCGACATAAATCTTTGTTCTGCTTCCTTCCCCTTAAGATCGTTTCCCTCACATGCCTGATCCAAACCGTTGTCATTGTGATCTGGGTATCATATCAAGTTAGGGATGTCAGTAAACAGAGAATTTACAGGGCCATAAAGATTCACTACAAGTTTCTTTCACCAAGTAATCTTAATACATGATGATCATCACTGAGCTCATAGAAACTGACTTATCTGTCCTTTTTTAAGCACTATTCCAGTATGCCTGTTCATGTTCTCCATTTGAGCTAAAGAAGCTATAGGCAGCACTCGGTCCTGTCCTAAAGTAAAAAATTGAAAAAATAAAAATACTTATAGTGCTCAATTGAAAGCTTCTGATTCAAATATATAAAAGGGTGGAAGAAAATGCAGTAGATTTGACCACCAAGTTTTCAAATAAGACAAACATAAAATGATAAAACATAAACCAATATGGAACCATATGTTTACTTATATGTTTCCATATTATAACTTGTTATTATGAAAATATATGCACAAATATAAGGATGTCTACCTCTGTGTGCTTGCGTGTGTGTGTGTGTGTGAGAGAGAGAGAGAGAGAGAGAGAGAGGTACGTACCATTTCTCTATCTATCAGTCTTTTAATGCAGATTGGACAAGTAAATGACGCATGAGAGAGAAACAAAATCATGTTAGTTTGTTCCGGAAATGCTTTGCTTACTAACTAAAAAGGAAACAATACCACAAACCTTCTTAATAATATGCGCAGATAATATGCATCCATGTGTTCTGACATGTTTAACGTTACATTGGACCGCCACCAAAAGTTCACGGCAATGGTTAGATCATCACTGTCCACCTGGTGGAACCTGTAGCAAAAATCAATAACCACTATAAATAAAAAGGTTGCACTAAAATCATATATTATCAGAAGACAAAAAGACTCCTAATGAACACTCTAATGGATATTAAACCTTACCAGCCTTCAGGAATGAAAAGTGCGTCGCCTGCCTGAAGAATAACCTTCTGCGAGTGCTCCATTAAACATTGTGCTCTTGGATAATTTGAAAAGTTTGGGTTCTCTAAAGGAACAAAACTGCCAAGTGGGTGTAAATTATAAGATTGAAAGACTGCAATTCATTATCTTTGTCAATAGCACAATAGATACAAATAACTAATACAAGCATAAAATTTTCATAATTAAATAATTATAAAAGTTAATTAATTTGAATTCATATTATTATTACAAGTACTGTACCTATGATTTGATGCCTCCCCATATATTGGCATAGGGTATAACATAGAACTTGCTGAAGGAGGCCACAAAACCACTGTGAAAGATGCAAGCTTCTATCAGACAAATCAGAAAGAAAAACTCTATTTAGACATATTTTACATACAAACATAGTTGGGAACACTGAACAAAGTTCAGTTCTATCTTCACACCAAGTTGTTATACAAATCAAATCACCCTTAAATTGGTGGCCCTCCAAGAATAAAAAGGTCGTACCCAGTGCACAAGGCTCCCGCTTTACGCAGGGTCTGGGAGAGGTGAATGTCGGCTAGCCTTACCCCCATTTATGGAGAGGCTGCTCCCAAGTCTCGAACCCGAGACCTACCGCTCATGGGCGAAGGCACTTGCCATCGCAGCCTTAAATTGGTGGCCCTCCAAGAATAAAACTGAAAATTTCACTTTTGCAGGAATGCAAGTTAACAATAAAAGATAAAACCATTTCACTTTCTTGGCAGCTAATCATTCAGTGATATTGAGGACCGGTAACATGAAACCTATCTAACCACTCTGTAGTTGGACAGAGCATTATGCACTCAGAGGGCCAGAGAAAATTATTCAACCTTGTTTGCAGCCAGAGACTACGCAGAGAAGGTTATGGTGTGGATCATAGTGAGTGCTTGATCTAGCTTGAGCATTGTTCATCCACAGGTTGATAGCAACTAGTACTTTATCCTCCAAAAATACAGGCTACAAAAAACAAGAAGTGGTTATTGGAAATCAAGGATGAGAAAAAAGGGTTCTCTAGTGGAAGGCTGTAAGATAAACAACGACTGTAACAAGACATTCACGAACCGTTTGGATGTCCTCCCTCAAAGATCCCAGTTGAACCCTCTCTTCAGTTTCAGTATTGATTATTGGGACCTGAATTGCACATAATAAAAGTTACTTCCCAAACATGTGACCCTTCAAAGAAAACTAATAAGTCTAACATATTAAATAAAGTATATCCGAATAATGACTAATCAAGCCATTAACAACATTAAAGAGAATAAAATATATTATATCCATTATCTTAAAGCCTTTGAAGGTTAAACCTGTGCTAAATAGATTTGGTGAGGAGCATCCTCATATGGCTTACTGTCATACTCAGATGAAGCCTCCGGTAGCCCATGCCGATCTAATTTAACACAGGAACCATCCTCTGAATGATGCATGCGTTTCTTACATAGACCAATGAATGCAGAAAATGGCAGCGGTACCTACAGAAGGAAGGGGTAGTAAACTAGTTAGGGCTAATGAGATCCAGATGAGAGTAAAATTCAAAGTTCCAGATTATTCACAATGGCCATACAAATTACTACCCTCTCATGGCTTCTAATATCACCGTAGAAGACAGGTGCCGAATCAGATAGCATAGCCTCCACAACACACAATCCGACTCGTTCCTAATTTTCCATTCATAGAAACCATATCAAGCACAAACTTTAATTCAATGAAAGCAAAGAAATTAACAATCTACGCAACAAGCAAATAATTAAAGAATGAAACAAACTACTTGTTAATCCCTGAAAAACTACAGAGTTACCTCCCTGTCCCTGAGGCCTAATTCAGTAGTAGGAATGGATTAGCACACCAAAGGCTCAGAATTCGAAACAAAACTAGATTACATTATGCATAAGTACATCATTAAGCAAACATTTGAGGTTGATCCTACTCACATAGTGTTGCTGCTGTGGTAAATTATTAAGAACTCGAAAGAAAGCAATTCAATTTTGACCAAATAATCCCTAATTTTCTCAAATTTACAACCAATCACTACACAGAACGAAGCCGAATTGACGAGATCAAAAAGGAAAAAATAAAGGGAAAATACCTGCAAATAATCGAGACCGCCATTACATGGATTCCAATTGGAGAAAGCTTTCCAATCTTTGACGCAGCCGCTAAAAACCTAATGAGAAGAAGAGAGCAAGAACACGCAGAGCAAGCGAGAGTGAGCAATTGCTTGTGAATTAAGAAAGGCGGGAAGAAAATTGCAGCAAATTAGTGAAACTGTAACGAACTTACGGCGGGAACGTTCGTGGATTCGATCCCAGACGCGAAGTCTCCGGCCGAAGGAACTTCGTTCAAGCTTCGAACTCGCAGAGCCGACTCCATTGCTGTGCTGATTCGTTCTCCGACTCACTGAGCTAGGTGAACTGGTACAACATAGCAGGAGAGTGAGAGATTGAATTTTAGAGAAATTGTCTCAAGGATCCTTAACTTTAACGAAATTAGAAGCGATGGGTACTAAACTAAAAATTCATGACAATTAGTTCTTTAATTCATCAAAACGTGCATCTATGATCATTTTCAACAACTCTATCAAAAAATTTCGTTACAATGAGTCACGTGTCACTCATGTGAAGCTAAATTAAGAGGCAAATATGGAAACAAAATGAGAAAATTGTGCAATGGTCTCTCAACTTTAACTTTACTGGAGCAATAGTCCTTAAACTTTAACCAAATCAGAGAAACTGTCCCTCAACTTTAACCCAACTATAATGATGGTCCTTTCACCATGACTCATTTTGACGGAACTTCTGACGAAGGTGGTAAAAATGATCATAACTGCATGTTTTAATAAGTTAAGATATCAATAATCATAAATTTTTAGTTAAGAAATCAACATACTGATTGAGATAAAATTAAATAACTTTGAGACAATTTTCTTTTGAATTTAAGTCGGGAAAGATTGCACAGTGGCGCCCAAAGTTTCCACTTTCGCGCAAATACCCATAAACCAAAATTCGTTACAATTAACAACGCAAACGTCAAACCTTGTTGCAGATGGCGAAGCTAGGCCCAAAAGAAAGCCCAAACATGTGATAATCAAAGTCATGGAGGGAACCAACGGCCTTCAAAACGAATTAACCGAATTTCAAGCCTCCTTATTTTCGCACTTCAGGAACAGTCTCTCTCTCTCTCTCTCTCTCTCTCTCTATTCAGTGCAGATCAAAAATGGAGAAACGAAAGCGATTTGAGACCGCCAAGATTTGCGTGGCGTACGGTTTTCTTATGAGCTTCATCGGCAATGGCAATGTTGCTACTGCCCTTTCAATCACCGTGACGGAGTTGGAATGCGTCTCGGAACAAGTTCTACACGAGGGAGACACGGTCTCTGGAAACTTTGTTGTAATCGACCACGACATCTTCTGGAGCTCCGACCACCCTGGTATTGATTTCACTGTAAGCTTCTAATGCAGAACTTTCGTGTCAAATAATAGCATGTTACGTTATCAGACGGTAAATCAAAATGTGTCTAATAATTCGCAAAAGATCGTTACATTTCCATTGGCAAAAATGATTAACTTTTTAAGATTTGATTGGTGTTCGAATGGGGGGTGCAAGCAAATGCGACTTATGTGTGGTTTATGCAGGCCACAGCTCCAGGAGGCGGTATTGTGTTTTCGCTGAAAGGAACGTCTGGGGATAAGTTCGCGTTCAAGGCACCGAAAAGCGGAATGTACAAGTTTTGTTTTCGCAATCCTGTTTCGACTCATGAGACTGTTTCGTTCTACATTCATGTTGGCCACATCCCAAATGACCATGACTTAGCCAAAGACGGTTAGTTCATCATGTTTTTTGTTCCATGATAGCGAAATATATACAGTAGGAGTCCCTTGTTTGTTTAATTTTGATTGATCGTTACTTGGTTGTTTTCGGTTTTTACCACATATGAAATGGGAAAAAACCAAGGTTATATTTTCATTTCTTGTAATTTTCGTGTAGAACATATGGACCCTTTGAATATTAAGATTGCTGAGCTAAGAGAAGCACTGGAAGTTGTCACAACAGAGCAAAAGTACCTTAAAGCACGCGATGCTAGGCATCGATATAGTAAGTTTCATTTGCATGAAAAAACTTACCTATCTTGGGATGTATATATATACACATGTTTATATAGCACACATCACATGAAATTGAACTCAACATTTTCTAACAACGCTTGTAATTGATCATGTTATCTTCTGACGACGTTTTTGTGTGGTTGCAGCAAATGTTAGCACGAATAAACGAGTGATCTACTTCACACTTGCAGAGTACCTTGTGTTTGCTGGTGCAAGTGCTCTTCAAGTGTTGTACATCCGCAACCTGTTTAGCAAATCAGTTGCCTATAACAGAGTTTGATTAGGTTTCCATTTTCCTTAATTTTTTTCTTATAAATTTATCATAGCAATTCAACGTGAAAAACAGAGTTCTGACTGTCAACTACATGACACTCTCCCCTCCTTTATCCAGGCTTGGGAGTGATAGCGTACGACAAACTTACACAATTATCTACTTAAATAAGGCAACATTATTCATCTCTTTGTATTGGTAACTTTATTTAAACAAGGCAACATTACTAGCACTTCGAACACTTCTATCTGCATTTTTCCTTTTGTTTTCATGCTTAACTGATAGAATATGTGATACCGATTATAATCGAACTTATATATTGTGTGTCGAAGTTACAGAAATGAGTTTCCATTCAGATGAGTACAATAGCTCACAATACAAAAACTAGGCGGTTCGTTACTAATGGCACCAAGACATTTTGAAATCAGATTCCACACTCGGATAGGTGTATCGAGCCTATGAACAATATGCTAGGTCGGATTTAGAAGTGGATGCAACAATCTATACATTGTAGATGGTCAAGTATTACGATCAGAGAACATTATAAATGTGAAACAGATATGTTGCATGTAACGAGTGCATGCAAGTTTTTCTCCTGTCTTAAACAGGAGATAACGATGCCTCAAATATTTATATTATGGATGCTAAATCAACTGCATTGTCCTGTATACTTGTCATCTATTAGCAAATTAAGATCCAAGCATTTCCATTAGGCATGGATTAGTGGTGGTTTTATGCCATTTTCTCTTTGTTTCCATTGCGTTGAGAGAATTTTAGAACTTCGAAGAGAAGAGGCCCCACCCAACAGCTGAAAATTTTAAGCCCAATTGTAACCACTCTCCACTTTATTTCTTATAAATCAGTCAACGGTCCAGATTTGTTTCATCAAGCAAATATTTTTAATTTAGTGATATTGTATTGTGCAGGCAAAATTCCAAGGACTGAAACCTAATCCATTTATGATTTTTTGGAGTCCAAATATTTGATATTCCAATATTATATCATACGAATTTTCAATTTAAAAACACAAAATTAAAAGTGAAATTATTATCAAACGGTCATAAATATTAACTGTCTAACAATTTCTTGAACATTTTAAAATCAAAATGACAAAAATATGAGGCTCAATTCCACTTGGAGTGATCTTATTTTGACCTATAAAATGACATCATATATATATATATATATATATATATTAAAAAGTGGACATATTCTAGCTAGTTTCACCTAACCAAAATACCATGTTTGAAAGAAAGAAAGAAAGAAAATGTTAAACTACAAATCGACCTGCTCATGTTAGTTAGCATCAAATTCCTTTTAGTATGCTTGCCAAAAATAATATAAATCATAAAAATCTCAAACACTACATATTGCACTTGTAAGACGCGTGATTCTCACAAAATGTACTTCTAATATTATGCATCGCTCTTGTTTAGAAATTATTACGCATTATTTTAATTTAGTCTATTGCCTTTGATTTTCCACCTTTTTGTATGCAAAATGTAAATACATAGATTTAGGTAAATGCAAGAAGAAGTGCTAGTTTCTCTGGATCGAGATCTGGAGTCCGCGAACATAAAGATTTGGGCAGTTCAAGGGAGAGAAATACCCGGACTCTTGATTTGTGTGAAGTGAGTTAGTGATATGGGCTATTGGTGTCCATAGGATTTAAAATGAGTGATCCTCTAGATCTGCCAGCTCCAAACACTGAGATCCAGAAAAGAAAAAAAAAACTCAATTCAGCTTTTTCAATGGTATAATAAATAGATTTTGTTATACCAATGTCATTATAAATGTTGATTTTTATAGTTAGCTCGTAGTTAACAACAGATAATAACATTTTATTATTATTATAACAAAATATATTTTTATGTTGCGAACATAATATTTGCATAATCAATGTAAAATGTTGTGTGTAACATCGTAGAATGTTATGTGTAACATCGTAGAATGTTATGTGTAACATCGTTCAACTAAATTATTACCACTACCCTTTCAAAGCTTAAGGTTTTGATGTAAATATTAAGCTTCCACCTACTCTCTGTCACCATGGCAGTAGGAGCCGTAGGACATCATGCCTTTCTTAAGTAACACTTTAAATCCGATTTATTAAGTTGGAGACGTAAACATTTGATATGAACCGACATACATTATATTTAGTCACGCACAATTTAAAAGTGGCAACTCTTTAGCACGTTGCTATAGTGGTGGGGTGCACTTCGGTATTAATTTGGCAAAAGCAGCAGTCTTCCCGTATATACAAGCATATTGATCTTATTGCTTCACAAATTGGCGAGGTGAAGTTCTTGATTGTTCTGCGGAGTGGTAATCTTGCTGCTCATTCGGTTACTTTATTTGCTGCTTTGCATGATAGCTTTTATTTATAGGACGCTATTGGTTCTATTTTTTTTTTTAATATTCTTGACGAAAATGTAAAACATTGTTATTAAAATTTAATAAAGTTTATATTTTGATAAAAAAAAAATATATATATATATATATATACACACACACAAGCATATTGGAATGGCCATATTAAGTTCCTTGTACAACTGAGCATGAAACATGTCGGTTCGATCTACTTTCCTACCACCTCCGTATTTAGACCTCGTATAAGGGACTCAAATGTAATTATGTAATAAATGAAAGGGTAAATATGTAATAAGTGAAGAGTTCTTATTCTATAAAATGACCCATCACTTTCCTTATTAAGGGAGGCCAATTCTTAGGCCATGGGAAGAGCTTTCTCACCCTCATAAGCTCTCACCCTCTCCCTCATAATCCTCTCAGAGAAATATAATATCAGTGTGGACGTAGTCCAAATATTGGGATGAACCACGATATATCTTGTATTCTTTACTTTCTTGCAGATTCACGATCGGATTTACTTTGTTCCAAGATCCCTTCGATTTTGTGCATCAACAAGTTGTTACAATATAATCATATATCGATCAGAAAGGTTTTACATAGTATACCTCGAGTGCTAATTTAAATTAGTAAGTTAATGTATAATGCATAATGTTAAAATGTAATCTCGACTTACTCCCCAATGTAGTGTAATTGACTCGAAAAAGAAGCGATTTGATTATTATTGTGAATATTT